CAAGGTGAGAAGACGTGGCTGTGGATTCAACCGATCACGTATGCTATCCCCTGCCCCCTCCTCCACCCCCATTTTCTCGTAACTGGACTATAAATACACGCAGATGCTTGCTGTTCTCACACTGTTTCTAAAGATAGCTTCCTGTTCGAGTCCTCCGGAAGTTCAGACAAGTGCCCAATGCTGGCATTTCTATTTTCATTGCTACAAGAACCTGGGGCTCGCGTATTCGCTTCCATTTGGTAAGCCGTTTAAAACACGCGACAAGGGGCTCTGCGATTTCTTTCCAGACTTACGTTCAAGGCTTCTGCTTAGTTTAACATTCCTGCAAAATTTAAAAACTGTAAATAAAGAAACGGGGAAGTAAAAGCAACAGTTGATAGGACTTACGTGTAAGCTGCCTCTGTTACAATGTTCGTAAACTAAACTGAACGACATCTCATCTATGTAGCATCCAATGAGGGTGTTAACATTTTCATTCTGAAAATCCTTTATGGAGCGCAGAAACTGATCCACATTTGACTTCAGATAAGTATGCTGTATGTTCAGCCGTTTCAGATGAACTGCTTTGCCCTTGAGTCAAGAACAATAAGAATATTCGACAGTAGGATAGTGTTCAGGATCGTTTGGTTTATTGTAACGACAATTGCCCAGAAAGAGCGATAACTGCCCGTATGTCGTAGGCAAAATGTCGCAGTACATATTAAAATGAGCAAAATGCTCATATCTTTGAAAAATTAAATAGGACAATTTGTAGCTATAGAGGTCTGTTTTTCCAGTTAACGATCTATTTCTTGTAACCTCCTCAATTTTATTCCCAAAAGCCTTTTGAGTGAGTTTCGGAGATCCCGTAAACATGATTTGGGTTTCAACTTAAACAGGTCTTTATAATTTACCTTGGGTCACTTGCAATTCAGTAAGATCAAGGGTAATAGGCATTATCATTGAAGATCCGATCAAATATGACACAATATTTGAGTTAAAATAAATATGTTACTATAAAGCAGGATGTAACATATATTTACTTCTAATTTTACCACAGACCCATCTGCAGCTTGCGTAGCAGGGACTCTGGATCGACGTTGCATTAACAACACGCATTATTTTGTTGTTGAATCCCATACGATGGGCAGATCCAGATCTGCTAAGTTCGTGGTTCCAAAGTTAGATAAACAAATAAGTCAGGCTATACCGATCTTAGCAAAAACGGTCCGCATTTTTGTGTGTTTAATACTTAGTGTTTTCAGCTTGCGGAGGCGTCAAGCATGCAAACTTCAATTATCAATTTGTTGTTAATTTAATGACTTTCGGGAATCTCTGTCAGCCACTTCATTCCGAATTCTTGCGTCCTGATTGAAAACGAAAACTTCCTTCTGAACTAATACAATAAATGGAGCAAAATGTATTATATTTATCCAGGGCTAGATAGGTATGTTGAACCAGATCGGACATAAGTCTAAGTAGCCACAGTGTTTTGGCAGTCTTACTCTGAAGATAGCCGTGAGTTTTGATGTTTTCCCAGCCATTCCGGTCGGGGCCATCAGCGACGTGTTGTCCACCGTGCCAGTAAAAGCAGAGAACTCTCCCACGGAGAGGACGTCCGACGCTTTACGCTGATTGTTTGAAGTCTGCAAAAAGTTG